AACATCACAATGCCCTGCACTAACAGACAATTTTAGCTCACATGAAGAAACAAGAGAGAATGAAATAAATGACCAAGATGCAGAGCCAGAAAACATTTCTAAGGAAGAAAAGGTAATGGAGCTAACAGAAAAATAATTCAAAAGAACAATACTTAGGTACCTTTCAAGGATTGACAGAAAGATCAAGAAAAACAAGAACACAGAAAAAAAAACCTTAGAAGAATTCAGGAAAACACTACAAGAGCAAACAAAATAAATGCAAATTTTGAAATAATACAAAACCTGCATTTAGAAATCCAGAAGATGTGGGAGGGAAAATTATTCATGGGCTAGAGGGTAGACACATGTTAACATGGGTGACAGGGCAGGCAATCTACAACAGGAGGGAGGTTGGCTGAGGAAAGATACAGGTAATGGGAGATGCAGGAAGGAATGCAAGAGTTAAGTGAATCCAGGTAAAGACTGTTTATTGATGGTTCATGGAGGGGATTGCAATCATTGTAATGAAGGAAACTATGTGATTTGTTGATGTAAAACTGATTATCTGCTTTGTAAACCTTTATTCAATTCACAATAGATTAAAAAAAGAAGAAGCAAGGAGGGTGGAGAGAGTGGGAGACCAGATTCTTGCTCAAAGCCGATGGTTATATATTTTTATTTATGTTAATATTAGGGTTAGGTCCTAAGGGAAGGATTTCTACAAAGTAGGAGGGGTTAAGGCAGAGTATGGGTGCGGTGTCGCTTTTCTTCAAGATGTAACCAATAGCAAGTGTGTCTGAATTCTTGGCATCAGTATTATGGGATAGTCTGGAAATCAGGCAGAGTGCACTATATCCTCATTCTTGTACCTTTGGGTATGGATGTCTGGTTTTCTGAAAAACAAGTCTTGGGGCCAGATCATCAGTTATCATTGTCCAACACAGAATGGGGTGAATGGTACAATGATCTTTTCCAGACCACTAAGCAGAATACTAGGCCTTGTGATATAATTAATAAATATTTATGTTGCTGTTGTTTTTCTTAGCACCTCTAGGTATCCTTATTGACTCAACTAAATTTGTTACCGAACTCAAGGCGCCCTTAAGTCTGAGTAGGAATTCTTCAAACTAGTTGACTTCAGAATGAGATTTAGAACTGAAGCATGGGATGGAAGAGATCACCCAGGAAAAGGGTGGCCTGAAGGTAGAGACAGACAAGTACAAAAGCTGGAAAAGGCCAGAGAACTAGGAGGGAACCAGACTGAAGCAGGTATTGGAAAGAAGGGGGAGGGTGGATGAAGCAAGGTCTTAAGAGAAAGTTGAGGGTTAGGGGCCCAGGACAGACTGAGGAGTGGCAGCTGGCTGACTTCTATTGGTGCCTCTCCTAGGTACTAGGATCACTCGCTCAGCAGCAGCTTTCAGTTCCCTGGATAGTGGCCAAGGTCCTCCTTAAGGGGCTCACGGATGGGGACCCAGTTCTGCTTTCCTGGAGAGGAGAACCAGGCCCACATGCTGTTGTTGTTGTTGTTGTTAGGTGCCATCGAGTCAGCACTGACTCATCATGACCTTATGCACAGCAGAATGAAACACTGCCTGATCCTGGGCCAACCTCACTACTGTTGCCACGCTTGAGTCCATCGATGCTGCCATTTGGCCAATCCATCTCGTTGGGGGTTTTCCTCTTTTTCTCTGACCTTACCAAACATAATATCCTTCTCCAGCGTCTGGTCCCTCCTGACAATATGTCCGAAGTATGAGAGATGAAGTTTGGCCATCCTGGCCTCCAAGGAGCACTCTGGCTATACTTCTTCCAAAGTGGATTTATTGGTTCTTTTGGCAGCCCATGGCACTTTCAATATTCTCCTCCAACACCATAACTCAAAAGCATCAATTCTTCTACAGTCTTCCTTATTCACTGTCCAGCTTTCGCATGCAGGTTATTGAATACCATGGCTTGGGTCAGGAGCACCTTAGTCCTCACGCTGACATCTTTGCTCTTCAACACTTTAAAAAGATCTTGTGCAGCAGATTTACCTAATGCAATGTCGTCTGATTTCTTGACTTCTGCTTCCGTGAGTGTTGATAGTTGATCCAAGAAGAATGAAGTCCTTGACAACTTCAATCTTTTCTCCATTGATAAGAATGTTGTTTATTGGTCCAGTGGTGAGGATTTTGTTTTCCTTACATTGAGATGTAATCCATATCGAAGGCTGTGCTCTTTGATCTTCAGCAGTAAATGTTTTAAGTCCTCTTCACTTTCAGCAAGCAAGGTTGTATCATAGAATCTACAAAAGCTCATAGTCTCATAGCATCATAGTGAGGGCAGAGGGAGACCCTTGCCTTCATTCAGCCACCCTAGCTAGGGTCACCCATTCTTCCTGAGGTAGCCCTCCAAAGTTGACCTGAATGGTGCCTTTCCCCTCCCCAGACATGTAGTTCCAGAACTCTGCCTTCTTCAGATACGCCAGGCTGCCACTGGATTCTAGAAAGCCATGTCTGCTTTTATTGATTTGTATTGGTAGGAAAATGTCCAAGGTCAGCCTGCACTTTAAGAGACACTTAGCAAAGTGATATGGGTGTGTCAGAGTGTGTCTCAGTATCTGCATGCTCTACCTACCCTCCCAGATTCACTCACCAGCCTGGACCTCTCTTCACCTGGCTCTTTCCCAGGAATAGGCCTGGTTCTAAAAAACCTTCCTGACCACCCACCCCCTTCAACCTACACTTACCATTCTCTACCACCCTCTGTCTCTATTTAGCCTTTATTTTAATACCACTCTGCCCTTTCTTCAGTGTTCTGTGCATTGAATCCTTTTCTCCCAGGGACTAAGCCTGATTCATTTGTCAGTGCTGTGGCATGCCCAGCCCAGGGCTGGGACACAGCCCAGGTTCAAGAAAATACTGGTGTGTGTGCATATGTGTGTTGGGTTATGGGCATATTTATGGTCTTTAGATCCAGAGTTACCCATAGTATGCACAGAATCCATGTACGAGGATAGGTCAAAAAGTATTGCTACTATAGCTCCAGTTCATGCATGCACAGGTTTATTCTGAACAAAATATGTTTAAGCATGTCTCTGTGGTCAGTGGTTGTTTTCTTAGTAATACATTTATCTCAATCTCATTAGGGTGCCTTCAAAAAATAAAAATAAAAGGCCCAGTCAAAACAACAGTTTCCAAGGGGAATGTGCTAAACTAGTTAAATTCAAGACAGAGGTCAGTTCAAAAGGTTATGACAACTGTTTTTTTTTTTTTTTCTTCTGGATTCCCAAGGGATAATCTTGACAGATTTTCTTAAAGAACAGGGATGATTATGGGAGCTTATTAGGAAAAAGTTTTAAGAAAATGGAAAATTGCATTGGTGAGAAAAAGGCCAGGGACGTTGTACCAAGGAATTTTTTTCTTTTTTACCATCACAACAATGCACCTGCTCATTCTGCAAGGCAAGCAAGGCTATCCTAGGAGAATTTCATTGGGAAACCTTACTTCATTCACAAAAAATCCTACAGCCATGCTCTCGCCCCTTCAGACTTCTTTTTGTTCCCAAATCTCAAAGAACATTGAAAAGGAATATGATTTGAGTCCCCCAAAGATGCCAAAACTGCTGTCTTAGTGTGGTTTCAATCGAATGCAGAATTCTTTGGGGAAGCTATTGTTGTTGTTACATGCCATGGAGTCGGTTTTGACTCACAGTGACCCTGTACAGGGTTTCCAAGGCTGTAAATCTTTACGAGAGCAGAAAGCCTCATCTTTCTCCTGCGGAACAGCTGGTAGTTTTGAACTGCTGACCGTGAGATTAGCAGCCCGATTCGTAACCACTACGCTACCAGAGCTCCTTGGGGGAACTGTTAGAGAGATGAAATTACACCTTCAGAAGTGTATAGACCTTGATGGAGGAAATATCAAGAAACTATGTCTTCATATTTTGATAATTTTGTTTAATAAAGGTTTCTATGATTTTGTATCAATATTTTGCAGCATTTACTGCGTGTCTTTAACTGCATTCTAATTGTTTTGGTTAATCCCATGGATCTGTGTGCCCTTACTTACTGTTGTGTGTATGTATGGTGTTCAGTTTGTGCGTGTGTAACCCTGTACAGGGTTGCTGAGTCAGAACCAACTTGACGGCACTTATCAACAACAGCAACAACCTTGTTGGTGTTCCTGTGTGTGTTATAAAGGCATTTCTATGATATGTGTGTTTTATGCGCATGGGGGCATAGGAACGGTGGATGTTGTGTGTCATTTCTACAACAGAAAACATTGTCATTAGAGTTGGACACAGATTTGAATCCTTATTGTGTCATCTACTTGGATCTGATTGCAAACAAGTTGTTCAAACTCTCTGGATCTCAACTTCCACATTTGTAATAAAGGGGCAATGATACCACAGAGGGGTGTTGAAAAGATGAAGGATGAGTAGAAGTAACTGGTGTGAGTGCCCAACATGTGGTTGTTAAGTGCTGTCAAGTAGGTTCCAACCCATAGCAACCCTGAATTGGGTTTCTGAGGAATGGCTTGAACCATGGACCTTGCGGTTCAAACCGACTTTGCAGTCCAGTAAGTACATTAACCCCCAGCGCCACACCAAGACTCCTGACATGGTTTGTTGTTGTTAGGTGCTTGACATGTGGTAGGGGTTTGATTATCATGGGTTCCACTTCCGTGTGTGTGTGTGTGTGTGTGTGTGTGTGTGTGTGTGTAGACCTGGTTGTACTATGGGCTAGGTGTTGGGCTGCTAACTGCAAGGCTGGCGGTTCAAACTCACCAGCTGAACCACAGTAGAAAAATGAGGCTGTCTGCTCCCATAAAGATTTACAGTCTCAGAAAATCTATACAGAGGTGCTATGAGTCCGAATCTCCTCTGCAGTGAGTCAGTGAGTTTGTGTGTAAGTGTATAAGTAAACCCAGGAAGTGTCTAACCTAAGCTTCCCTCCCATGCAGCCCCTGCTCAGAGTCTGGACCCTGAGCAAGTCCACAGTCTCTGAATGGAGGAGGGACCTGTCCCCTCTGGGAGCCAGGCTACATATCAAATCGGCTTCGGAGTAGCTTGAACTTGTTGTACTTGGTGATGAGGTCCAGTTTACTGTGGCCCAGGGTCAGCCGCTTCTCATCCCCATAAAGGTCGCTGCTACCACCCTTACGATGGCCACCTGTAGAGTCTCCTGGTAGGCCATGTTCAGGCCCCTGCCTGACACCCTGCAACTGGTGATACTTGGTGATGAGGTCCAGCTTGCTGTGACCCAAGGTCAGCCGCTTCTCATCCCCAGATCCCACTGCAATGTTTCGAACAGGGTTCTGACTGGGGAGACCATTGGGCCCAGGTCCCTCATCCTGGAATGGGCCAAATTTTGTGATGAGATCCAGCTGGCTGTGGCCTAGGGTCTGCCGCCGCTCATCCGGGTCCTGCCTGCTGGGCTTGACTGGGGAGCTAGTCTCAGGTGGCATATTGGAGTTGTGGGCCTTGGAGAATGGCACCAGGAAGTCCAACTGGCTGTGGCTTGGGGACAGTCTTCTGTCTGGTGAGAGCCGATCACCATTTCTGGGGGAGCCTGACTCGGAGGTGCTCCTGGCACCAGGGGCCCGGGGCAGGAGGTCCAGTTGGCTATAGTTCTGGCTTGGGGACAATCTTGTTTCCTCTGGGACCTGCTCACCAGGCTGCAGGGAGCCTGAGCCAGAGTCGGGGTCTCCTGCTTCTTGGGCTCTGGGAAAGGGGACCAGGAGGTCCAGCTGGCCATGGCTCTGACTCAGAGATGGCTTCTCATCCACTGTCTCTAGGGCTGGACCAGGTACTCGGTGACCTCGTGGTGGGCTGTGCTCCTGGCTACCTGAGAGCCCATTCTCTGGGAGCCGGGCCAGGGCTGGGCCACCCCGGGGGAAGGGGAAGAGCGGTCGTGGGCGCGAGAGCAGAGATGAGCCCACTGCCAGAGGCGTGGGGCTGACACTATGGTGGTTGAGGGCAGGGGAGGACTGAGACCATGGGGATGCCCCCAGTTTGCCCAGGTTGGCCTTGTAGAGTCCAGGAGGGGAGCCGTGGTTAGGGTCTGACAGCTGGCGTTGCAGGAGGTACTGACCATTAGCCTCAAGGCGGCCAGGACCTGGGGATGAGAATCCCATACCCTTGTCACTGCAGCCTCCTGGCAGAGCGAGGTAGGGGGAGCGGCCCATGAGAGGAGAGCGCTTGATGCTGCAGAGGCTCACGCTGGAAGGTAAGGAGGAAGTGGGGCTTGGGATGCCAGGTCTGAAGGCCAGGGCCACCTGGGGAGGGCGTAGTGCCCTGGGTGACAACGGCTCCTCTCCACCACAGAAGCCCTCCACCGGCCGAGACTCAGCATACAGACAGCGGAACTCCCGGTCAAAGTCTTCTACGATGCGGCCCCTTAGCTGCAGCACCATGCTCGTGTGGGCCTGACTGCACAGCCAGGTGAAGCTGGGGCAGAAGAGTAGAGTCAGGAAACCAAGCACCACCCAGGGGGCTTGGCAGGAAACTGACCCCAAACTCCACCACCATGAAGGCCCCACAGTGAAGGGGACAGAGCTCTGATCCCAGGGTCTGTAGTAGTCTTTAGCTCTGCTGAGTGGACTTGGGCAAGCAGCTGCCCATCTCAGGGCCTCAATTTCCCCATCTATAATAAGGGCCGGGGGCAAGATTCGCTGAAGTCCCTCCAATGCCAATGGAAAATCATGATTGTCTCTGCCAACAACATTCAAGTGGCCCTTCCACTAGAGTGAGTTTCCCATGCTATTCTCTGAGCCTTGCACAGTGCCTGGCAGGCAACAGGTGCTCAGTACGTGTTTAAAGAGATGGGCGACAGAGGAAGAGTTCAAAACTACAAGATCCCAGATACTCTCAGTACCCGGGGACACAGCCCAGGCCTTCTCCCTTCCAGTCCGATCACCTGTAGCTACCCGCAACCACTTGCTCACAGTCGACAATTACGAACTTCTCCAGGGCCTGCCCAGTAAAGCGGCGACCCGCCTTGCTGCAGTAGGTGTCCCCACATGTACTCCGCACACGCATGTTCTGGACCAGGAAAGGAAGAAGGAGGTTGAGAGTGAGCTTGACAGATGGGAGGAGGGTGGCTCAAGCCTGTATGCCCCATGTGGTCTTTGACCCAAATAGCTAAGGAAACCCAGTTCTCCACCCCCACTGGCCCTCAATGACCACAAATCACCCAACTCATTCTTCTCCACTCACCTCCCTGGCCCCTCCTCCCTTGCTGCCCTGCCCCTCACTGACCAGCAGGTGCCCCCCACTGAGGTCCATTTTGTAGCACATCTCCAGGAAGTGCCTCAGGTATTCCTGGGCCAGGAGCAGGTAGACAGGGACACCGCGCCGGCTTGAGGCCTCCATGAGATCACACAGAAGCTCCATGTCTGTGAATACATCCATTACCACAGCCACGACCTGGGGAAGAAGGGGAATGCTCAGCCCTGCTTTGGGGCCCTGCCCACATCCACCCCAGTCCTGGAACTGAAAATCAGGAGGCCAGAGCCTGTGAGAACATCTGAACTGCAAAGGTCTTTAACAGTGGCCTAATGAAGGGCTTCTTAACTTGGGCACAGGGGGTTTTGACTGTCTTGAACCCACAGAAGTTGTTTGAAAGTTTTGTGTGCATTTTTCTGTGGACAGAGTGTTTGTCATAGGATTCTCTCAGATGTCTGTGTATCCATTGTGTTGGTCTAAAGCAGGGGTTGTTGTTGCTTTTAAGTGCCATTAAGTCAGTTCTGACCCATAGTGGCCCTCTATAGGGTTTCCAAGGAGCAGCTGGTGAGCTTGAACCACTGACCTTGTGGTTCAAACTAACTTTGCTGTCCAGGGCACTAACCCACATAGTCACACCAAGACTCCAAAGCAGGGCTGGGGAACCTTTTTTTTCTGCCGAAACTTATAACCTCATTCAAGGGTCATACAAAAGTATCAACTTTATTCATTGGCCTCCTATATATAGTTAAACACGTAATTAACTCCCCTAATGTGGTGTTAAAAGAGCTCTGGTAGCATAGTGGTTACGAATCGGGCTGCGAACTGCAAGGTCAGCTGTTCAAAACTACCAGCTGTTCCACAGGAGAAAGATGAGGCTTTCTGCTCTGCCCTGTACAGGGTTGCTAAGAGTCAGAACCAACTCCTTGGCACATAACAACAACAACAATGTGGTGTTGGAGGAGAATATTGACATTGCCATGGGCTGCCAAAAGAACCAATAGATCTGTTTTGGAAGAAGTACAGCCAGAGTGCTCCTTGGAGGCCAGGACGGTCAAACTTTGTGTCTCATACTTCAGATATACTGTCAGGAGGGACCAGTCACTGGAGAAGGATATCATGTTTGGTAAGGTGGAAGGTCAGAGAAAAAGAGGAAGACCCCCAATGAGATGGACTGGCCAAGTGGCAGCATTGATGGACTCAAGTGTGGCAACAGTAGTGAGGTTGGCCCAGGATCGGGCAGTGTGTCGTTCTGCTGTGCATAAGGTTGCGATGAGCCGGTACCAACACGATGGCACCTAACAACAACAACAACAATGTGATGACTGTAAAACCATTTGAACTGCAAGGTTGGTGGTTCAAGCTCACCAGCTGTTCCTCGGAAACCCTAAACAGGGTCGTTATGGGTCGGAACCGACTCGACAGCACTTCACAACAACAGCAATGTGATGGCTGTGGGTTAATGCGCCAGACTGCGGAGCCATTTGAACAGCAAGGTCAGCCGTTCAAGCTCACCAGCTGCTCCTTGGAAACCTATACAGGGTTGCTATGGGTCAGAATCGACTCGACGGCACTTAACAACAACAACAACAATGTGATGGCTGTAACTGCAGTTACCTTGGAGGGCCAGACCAAATGATTTCAAGGACCTTATTCTGCCATGGAAGGAACTCTGGTAACATAGTGGTTACGAGTCAAGCTGCTAACCTCAGAGAGAGCAGTATGAAACTACTAAGCGTTCTGAGGGAGAAAGAGCAGGCTTTCTGCTCCCATAAAGACTTACAGCCTCGGAAACCCTACGCAGGGTGGCTATGAGTTGGAACCGACTCCACGACACACCACCACCACCAACTGTATTGCCGCAGGCCAGATGTTCCCCATCCCTGGTCTCAACCCTCATTCTACATATGGGATCACTGAGGCCAAGAGGGAGAAAGAGTCAGGCAGAAACTAAGACCCAGATTCCCAGTCCTTTCCACGCTTCCTGCTAGCATTGGCAGGTGTTCTGACTGACCTGAGGTTCTTCTCTAAGAGTCAAAGCTGCAAGCCAGTTACTGGGGTCTCGAGTTCCCTTCACCAGTCCCCTCAATTTCCCTGTGAAGCTGCAGAGGTCTGGTCTGACATTCATGGACTCCCTCACTTCCACCCGTGGCAATCAGAACCAAGTGTCTTGCTCAGTTCAGAGGCTGGGGCTTGTGGGTTTTACTTCACATATGGACCCGCCTCAGATAAGCTTCGGTACCCACTGGTGTCTTCCCGTTGCATGTATCTGCTGTGAGAGGATCCTCTCCCAGGCAAGGCTGAGGCAGAGCAGAATTCTCAGCTCTGCAGTTGCCCTGAACTAGGTTTGAATCTGGACTCTGCTCTTCCTGGTGCTAGGGCTCTGGGTGAGTCGCTTCACCTCTGAAAGCCTCAACTTCCTCATCTGTTAAATGGAGATAATGATAGTTGGATCTCAAAGTTATTGGGAATTAAATGTGAAAAGGCTCCACATACAACAGAAGCTCAATAAATGTTTCTTCCCTACTGTCTTAACAAACGAGGGCATTGGACCCTAAGGAAAGGAAGCATTTCCCACAGTCACTCCAAGTCAGTGATGGGATGAAGAGCAAGAAGCTGGGTCCTAGCCCCAGGTTGGAGGGTCCAGATGGGAGGTGAGGAGGCAAGGCTCTAGAGGATGCCCCTGACCCACAGCATGGCCAGGCCAGTGCTGGGGGAATAAGGACAGGCAGGGAAGATCAAAGGGACAGGGTGAAGACAGCAGCAACAACCTCCCTAATCACCCCATTCCCGATGCCAATCAGGCCTAGCCCGCCCCTGCCTGGGGCACAGGCAGGCTTGCATGGGAGGCTCCGGCATCCTGCTTCCTCAGACAGGGGTCATGTTATCCATGTCCCTGCCTCCTGAGTCACAGAAGTGAAGCTCTGCTAATCTGGGGCTGGAGGCCTCCAGCACTGACCACCCCCACCAGGAGATACCTGCCTTCCAAACCTTCTACTCTCCTGATTCTGAGTCTCCTGCTCCTCAACCCTGAGCCCAGAAGCCTCCATTCCCCTTTCTCTGCCTGGACAGAGTCAAAAGTCATGTCCCTTAGGCCATGTGGAAGCCCAGCATGGTGCCCCACTCTGCCCTATGCCAGGATACAAGGCTAAACTAGGGGCTCCTCTCTCCCAGAGTCTTTGTTCCCTGAGCAAGTCTCAGCCTCTCTCATAAAGTTGGTAGTTCAAACTCACCAGTTGCTCCTCAGAAACCCTATACAGGGTTATTAAGAGTCAGAGGCACTTAACAACAAGTCAAAGGGATGGATGGTTTGAAGTTCTCTGAAGCTGCGGTTCTTAGTTTTGAGGTCACAAAACTTCGGGCCTCTGATGAAGATGATGAGCCCTCTCTCAAGACAGATGCAGAGAAAAACCCTCACTGCTATATGCCCAGCTTTGCATGCATTTCCGAGGGTTCACAGAGCCCCTGAGCCCCCTCCTCAGTTCTACGAAGGGGACTTCAGAAGGTTTGTGGAAAAGTTGAGTTAAAAGATAATGGGCCTTGCACAGGTACAAGGTCATGGAAGCAGGAGCTGATTTCTCCGTTTCTTTGCTTCCAACAGTGCCATGTTGGGACAGAGCATCCGGAAGTTTACCACCTCTGTGGTCTGAGGAGCCACTATTAAGGAGGGCCCAGGGAAGGATTAGCCATTTTCCACGGAAAACAAGTGGCGGTTACTAATTGTGATGACTGTATACTTTGGGTCTGGATTTGCTGCCCCTTCCTTTATAGTAAGACGCCAGCTCCTTAATCCATGAAACAGATAAGAAGAATGTTTCAAGAAGTCCAGACTCTGAAAAATGACTTAAACTCTGTTGAACTTGTATAGCACACTGGTTGTGTTTGTAAATACCCTTACTACATGAATGCTAGTGCCTCTTTGTCTCTGAAATATGGAATGTGCTAATTGAACATGTGCTTAATTTCTGTCTTGGTAATATCCCGGTATTGGTTTCTTAATTTAAAAAATATACATGATTTAGTTGTTTCTTGGTCTTAAATGAGGGAGGGGGAAGTTATTTAGTGTTTTCTTCATAGGATAGGACCTTGTTGATAATTTATATTATAAAAGTGAAATACAAGCATAGTTTTGGGTGTCCTGTAAATCTAATTTTTAAAATTTTATTCGTTTTTAATTTAAAGGGAGAAGTTTTACATTGAAGTAAAATATATATATATCTATGTATAGATGTATATAGATATTTCCCCATATGTGATAATTAATCATGAGGAAAACCAATGGTGTAGATATTTTCAAGTTTGGTTAATCAGGTGGATAACAGCTTCATTTATTTTCTGTGTGCCTATATCCTAAAACTGAAATCTTTGCCTTGGTAAATGTACACTGACTAATATTGATTTCTTTAGAATAAAACTAAAATGTTAGATAGTGAAGAAAAAAAAAAGAAGCTAATGGAACTTTTCCACACAAATTTCAAAGCCCCCTCTGACGTCTTCTGTTTTTTGCTCTCTAAATTCTATTTACTTTGTTGTTAGAAACACACACAGCAAAACATATACCAAGTCACCATTTTCTACCTATCCAATTCAGTGAGACTGGTTACATTTTTAATTGTGCAGATATTCTCACCCTCTCCTTCTGAGCTCTTCCTCCTTATTAACATAAACTCACTGCCCCCTAAGGGTCCTTTCTAATCTTTCCAGTTGCTGTTGTCAAGCTGATCCCATTCAGATAGTTCTTAAAAAAGCATAATGCTCAAGACAGACCTTTTTATTCATTATACTGGTGCTGTAGGTTAGGCACTGGATTGCTAAGCACAAGGTCAGCAGTTCAAACCCACCAGCTGCTCCTTGGAAACTCTATACATGGTTGATATGAGTCAGAACCTATTGGATGGTATGTAACAACAACAACAACAATGATATGGTTTTAAGATGATGTCAGGGGGAATCCATGGTTTCCCTGAGTGCCAAAGAGCTGCCAAAGTAAAACATACGTCCACTCTCTGGGAGCATGTGCTGTAGCAGAAACTAGAGGCTCTAGCGCCAATTCTGCACCTAGAATGTTGTGTGGCCTTAGATGAGTTCCTTTTCCCCTCTGGACTTCAGTTTCTGCTTACCGTGCGGGCCTGGCTGAAGAGGAAGCGCAGCAGGTCCTTGATGCTCTTGGCCTTGTCCCGTTGGAAGTGGACCACAGCCTGGGTGGGGCTGAAGCCCGTGGCCTGTGGAACCTCGGGCCAGCCCAGGTCTAGATCTGGGGGGTCTACGTCAGAGGCCATGGGGAAGTAGGTGCCCGAGGTGACTTCGGAGAGCAGGCTGAGACGGTCAGGCCCTGAGGCCTCTGGTCCCTGGGCTTCACTGAGCTCAGGGCTGCCACGCACATGACTGGTCATGTAGTTCATATCCAGGGCGCTCAGAAACGGCAACTCCCGCTCCTCCGAGATGACCCGCAAGTAGGCAGCCTCGCCCCTCTCCAGGAGGGCATCAGCTGCCAGCCGGGCAGCCTCGCTGTGCCGCAGCACAAGAGGTGAGGCCTCTCGCCAACAGGGCCGCTTCAGCTCCTCCACCCGACCCCTCAGGGGTCCCGCCATGCCCTGGGCTCCCAGGCCCCCAAACATACCTGCCCACCTGGTTTCTCACCTGCCAGTGGACTCCATGGCCTGCACGTCAGGCTGACTACAGCAGGAAGAAGATACTAGCAGATCCGCTTCCTGCCCACCTGCCAGGTATGTGTGTGGCAAGATCCTCAACTTGCTGCTACCCTCAGTTGGAGCCAGGCTCCACCCCATTGCCCCTGGCCTTTGGAACCTGTTGGGTCAGCCCCATCTGTCTGCCCACTGTTCAGACTTGCCCGCCCAGGGAAGTGGCAGTTGTCAGGCCCTTAGCACACATCTCCCCACCTCCACTTCTACCCTAGCATCTCCTGCTCCATCCCCACCAGGCTCCTAGCAAACTGCCCCCAAACCCTGACCTTCCAGGACCCCCTGTGGAGATGGGATTACTGTCCAGAGGGGCTCACACCTGTAGAGGGGCAGTATGAACACGCATATGCATACACACCCTGGGGTGTCTTGATGATTCAAGGCAAGAGTTAAAGATGTAAACACACAAACAGAAATGTTGGCATACATACAGACACACAGAGGGAGAATACATGCTGACACACCAGACATTCTGACACACTCTGGTAGCGTAGTGGTTACGAATTGGGCTGTGAACCTTAAGGTCAGCAGTTCGAAACTACCAGCTGTTCCGCAGGAGAAAGATGAGGCTTTCTGCTCCCGTAAAGATTTACAACCTCGGAAACCCTGTACAGGGTCACTATGAATCGGAACCGACTCCACGGCACGTAACAACAACAACAACAACAACAACACATAAACTGACCTGAACACCAATTCGGAGACTGGTTATAGGCCACCATACCTGTGCTGTGGGTTAATCAGCCAGACTGCAAAGCCATTTGAACTGCAAGGTCTGCAGTTCAAGCTTGCCAGCTGCTCCTTTAGAATCCTTTTAAAGGATCGCTATGGGTCGACTGGCGGCACTTAACAACCACCACAATAGATCTCACATGGCTCAGTATGGTCAATGTACAGGCATTGGAGTAAGAGCCAAGAGCTCCCAAGGACCAAGGCATTCCTCCATAACTGACTCTCAGAGGCCCTGCCCAGCCCCACTCCTGACTCGGAGCCCACACTCCAAAGGCCCAGCATAGTGGCTTACAGTAGCCCAGGACGTAATAAAATGCAGATCCCCAGGCCTCACACACCCAGAGATGCTGATCCAGGTCTGGGGCAGCCTTCTGGGACTGGCCTTTGAAATAAATGCTCAGTATATCTGGGGCTATAGGCTAGGTCCAACCCTTGAGAAATGCTGTTTTAGATGGCTGCGCTTTCAATACCCTCAACTCTTAAGGGTGCTCCTGTGCCAGTGAGGGCTGGCCCCAGCCTTCTTCGCTTCCTCAGGGGCTGAGTATTAAATGTTTGTGAGTGTTTCAGAGGAAAGTTGTTTCAGAGGGTAGGGGATACTCTACAAGGCCAGGAGGCACAGATGGTTGGCAGGTTTCTGATGGAGCTCTGACCCCAAAAGAGCCAATTTCCCAGTCTTTCCTTAGGAAAATGAGCGAGTGTTTACTCTAGAAAAGGGCAGCAGCAATGACAGCTGTTTTGGGGAGGAGTGGTCACAATGGTGTCCCATATCGGCTCAAAGCACCATTTTTATATGGAGGGTCGAGGTTCAAACAGAATGGCCATGAGGCAGGAAGACCTAAAGCAGGTCTGAAAGCCTCGCCAATTCCTTTTCGGTACTGATTTCACCTGGCTTTACTTGGCCTGGGCCCATCTGCCCATTCCCTCAAGCAGCAGCTGTTTAGTTCCTCTGTGTCCAACACATGGAGGTGAGGATGGGATACAAAATATTTTTAGTGTGGGCTTAGGGGCTGTCAGGGTTGAACTCGATGAACTGGACAGGGGCTGTGTCTTTGAAGGATGAGGGGCTCATAGGACAAGAAGCAAAATGCTGGGCCATCCCAGGGGCAGAAATGGAGCCCCAGGCCTTCTGAGGAGGCCCTGGAGACTAAAGGGTAAGCAGAGCCAGACTGTGGGAGGAAGCTAATGAGCTGTGTGGGGGCAGCCGAGGTCGCAGGGCCCTCATTAGGACCTTATCTCAGATGTGTTTAAAGGGGAAAATCAGGGCCTTATCTGGGCCAAAGGACTGCCCGTGGGGCAGAGAGGCAGGCCAGGTTCTACATGGCTGAGTTCCTGTTTATCCTCAAATGTGTACATGTCCAACTGATGGTACATATTTTTGTATCTATATTTTTGTATATTTCCCTCCATGCTCGGGTTTGTATTTGATTCCTTTTTTTTTTTTTTTTTAAGTAAAAATCTATTGGGGTCTTAAAAGTTCATGAGTGGCCATCTAAGGTGCAACTTTTGGTCTCTCCTTTTCCTGAGGAGAGAACAGTGTTGAAAATTGAAGACACATGGAAACAATTAATTCAATGGACTCACAGACCATGTGAACATCAATCTCCGTGACTCTGAGACCAGAAGAACTAGATGGTACCCAGCTGCTACTACCAACTGCTCTGAAAGAGATCACATTAGAAGGTCCTGGATAGAGTGGGAAAATGAGGAACAAAACTCAAAACCATTAAAAAGACAAGGTTTACTGGTTAGCTAGAGGCTGGTGGAACCCCTGAGACATGGCCCTTAGTCACCCTTTAGGCCTGCCAATGAACTCACTCCATGGATCAACTTTAAGCCAAACAGCACACAGGTCCATAAGGGGAAAGGAGCCTTGGTAGCATAGTGGTATCACATACTCAGCAGTCTGAATCCACCAGGCACTCCATGGGAGAAAGATGGGACTTTCTGCACCCACAAAGATTTATAACCCCAGAAACTCTATACAGGGTCGCTGTGAGCTGAAACTGAGTCCACAGAACACACTAGCGTAAGGGGGACAATAACACTAGTGAGGTCTGCAGCCATTTGATATCACATAGGGCACCACTGACCCAAAGACAAAGTTCAGAAGAGTCAGGAATGAAAGATGACTGGAAACAGGCAACACAGGAAGAAGTGGAATAAGTAGTTTCATTGTGGGGATTACAAGCAATGAAATAAAACAAAATGTGTATGAATTGTTGAATGGAAAACTGCTCTGCTCTGCAAACCTTCACCCAATTTACACTAAAAGTTTTTATTTTAATAAAACCTATTGAAAATTGGCAATTTCATAGGATTCAACTAAACAGACATATGTACACAGGTATGGGAGCGTGGTGGCTCCATATAACAAGCACCACAGTTTGAACCCACCAGCTGCTCCGTGACATAAAGGTGAGGCTCTCTGCTCCAGTGAAAATTTAAAGCCCTGGAAACACAATACCTGGTAATTATGAGTCGGAACCAACTCGATGGCACTTAACAACAACAATACAGGTATGCATAGCTGCACCTGTACATGTCTGAACAGGTACATACTGTAGCACTGTGGTATTCATGTGACTGCCTGACATCCTGTAAACATCTAGTCTGTGTATTTGCACTATGTCCACGTCTGTGTGCATGTGTTTCTGAGGGTGAGGTTGTAGTACTGGCTATGTTTGAGGAGAGAGACAAGGGTAGTTGTGGCTGAGATGAAGGGAAAAGGGCTCCAGGGGATTCCCTCCATCCTATAATAATAGCATATAAATCAAATCAAATCCCCCAGGCTGCACAAATGATTGCCCTCCCTTCAGGGTGAGTGGAGAAGAGGGCAGAGAGAGGGAGGCAGCCTCAGCTCTGGACCTGGGGTGATGGCCCCGGGTGACAGGAGCCCTAAAGACAGACCTAAGCCCAGGCCCTAGCTTCAGTGTTCTGGGCACAGGCCCCTTAATGACTGTTATTAAGAAGGAAAATATTTTGCTGTCCAGCAGATGTGTCAGGCGCCTGCCTGGCATCACTCGACCTTGTCTGTTGTCTCCCACAGGTCGAGTGGCGCCTGGCTCAGTGACTGTCCTGTGGGGGTGGTGAGAACAGAGGCGAGGCTACAGCCCTCCAATGGAAGCTGCTCGGATTCCATCGCTGCTGCACACCTTTATCCCCTCAGGGCCCTGGGAGAAGGAGCCCACTGCCGAGCAGCCAGGACTAGTAGGGGAGCGAGAGTGTGTCCACCCCTTGAATCAAGGGAGAGCTGGAGGGACCAAGTGACAAGTGGCGAAGATGCCCAGAGGTGGGGTCTGGAGCTCTAGAAATGCAGTATGACAAGTTGGACATTCCAGACTACAGGAACAGAGTGCAAGGACACACCCACTGAAGGACCCAGGAAAAGGGGCTGCAAAAGGCAGTTTGGAACTATACTCAAAAGTCCTTGAGTTCCCCAAGGGGGCAGACTGGCCCAAAGCATCAGACTCTCCAAATAGGTGCAGTTCACCATTTCCAGCATTGGCCTACCATTCTAGGCCTTTCCCTTTTCCTCACACCCCAAGAGCTGCACCCACTCAGGGACTCGGGTGGTACCACTGGACTCAGACTCAGACCACATGGGTTTGAACTCTGACTGCCACTTAATGATGAACTGAACAATCACAACTTCTCGGAGTCACAGTGGCTCACTCTATAAAATAAGACAAATGTCACCTCCTTCACTGGGTTGTTGTAAGAAATGAGTTTATTTATGTAGGAGTAGCTTGTTGTTGTTGTGTGCTGTGGAGTCGGTTCCGACTCATAGCAACCCTGTACAGGGTTTCCGAGGCTGTAAATCCTTACAGGAGCAGAAAGCCTCATATTTCTCCCGCGGAACAGCTGGTAGTTTCGAACTGCTGACCTTGCCATTCGCAACCCGATTTATAACCACTACGCTACCAGCAGTAGCTTTGTTGTTGTTGTTGTTACATGCCGTGGAGTCGGTTCCGACTCATAGCGACCCTGTACAGGGTTTCCGAGGCTGTAAATCTTTACAGAAGCAGAAAGCCTCATCTTTCTCCCACGGAACAGCTGGCAGTTTCGAACCATTATAGGGTTTTCAAGGGGTGGCTGGTGCCCCAACTTTGTAGTTCAAACCAACCTTGCAGTTGAGGGCTTAGTTACAGTGCTAGTGGTCTCATACAATTTTTGCCCTTTTGTGA